AATGAGTCTATCAGAACCTTTTTTCTTAATCAAACCGATGGCTCCAACCACAAGTAAAATTACTGAAATCTTCATGTGCCACACTTTTGAGATTTCCACATCAAGATCCTTGTATTATTGTTGTTATTATTTGTGTATGCTATATTTCCTGCTTTGTATCCTGTAGAGTCGGGTCCAAACTAAGATCCTTCGGCCCTAGAGAAGAATTGTCATTTAATTCATGGCACTTTTCTTAATATATAGGATGTTCCTTGTAGGACGATCTTTTGAGCAAATTGTATGTTGATTTTACATGGGACGTTGTTAGTAAAATTGTTCATTCCTTTTTTTCACGAGGCCCAGTGCTCTGATTACTATTGGTACAGTCTCAGTCTTCATTCCCCACATCCTGTTAATCTCGATCTCCATGTCCTTGTATTTGGACAATTTCTAGGTAATTTCGAGGTATTTATCTCAGATGGTACTGCTATGTCAATAAGCATTAATTTCTTTTTTTTTTCTGATAATATCATGTCTGTTGGCTTGTATTTCCCTGTCTGTTTGAATTGGCATGTCCCAGGAGATATTTTGGGTAACTGTGTGTGGTTGGTACTCATACCATCTCTCAGTCGTTTCGATTTTGTTCCTCTTGCATATCTTCCAGTGCACATAGGTCGCTACCTTGTTATGTTTCTAGATATATTTATTATTTGCTAGTTTGTTTCTTCTTCTTTTCTTCTTCTTCTTCTTCTTCTTCTTCTTCTTCTTCTTCGTATTATTGTTATTATTTTTATTCTAACGGGTCCTTTTTAATTGGGCAAATGTAACGTTGGCGAAATTGAGTGAAAAAAACTTTTAAACAGTCATCTAGAAGTAGATAGGGATATTAGTCGAAATAATTCATTGAATAGGGACGTAGCTGGAAATTGATGAGTAAGAATTATTAGCATCAAATTTTTAGACCTCACAGGTTAACTTTCGATTATCTTACGATCAAGCTATGCCACAGCTGTACTGCTAGAACGTTTAACGATCGTTAACAAGTTTAATATGTGTTGCTACGTTCAGTCATTGAACTCATTGATTGGAATCGATCCCATCTTTCATTAATTTGTCTTGGTTTAACTACTAAACTCAAAATCTTGCTGATTGATTATTTATTTACTTACTTTTTCGGGTGGATGTGCGTTGTGATGTCATGACCACCAGCACAGAAGGAGAAATCAGAAGAAGCGAGTTCAATTTCTAGTCGGGTACGTTACGTTCACTTATGAGCAAATATCCTTGGTATCTCTTCTCGTCCCAGATATGGGTTGAACAGAAGGATAGAGTTGGTCTTATAGCCTTTTTTTCGCAACCAGTCTATTGCAGCCAGAAACGACAACCTACTGCTGGATAATCTTCACCATAGTTAGTTATGTAATCGAAAGCGACATGATCGCCCAAACGTGTAACACGTAATGCCCTTAAATGAATTTTTCTTTTTAAATAAAAGAGTAATTCGTTTTAGAATCTTTAAAAAGCTGTACCGAAAAGTGCTCATCCCGACACACTTCCCAAAATTTGACCAAATGCAGAAGTCATTTAATCAGACTTTTTTTTTTTTTTAAATGTTTCTTAGTCAGCCCGAGAACTTTTTCACTATCGCGTATTTATTGATTTGGGCATTGTTGTAATTTTGTTTTCGTTCCGCCATGTTTTTAATTCTATATAATTCAATATAGGAAGAAGATCGATCGGAATTATCTGGAGTGATTTTATTATTGATACTTTGACTGCGCTGATCCGAGAGATGCTGAGGTGATTTACCGATGAAACGCCAACTCTTTGATTAAATGAGTTGTAAACAAATCTGGAGAAGTTCAAAGTCTTTAACCTTCATACCAATCAGCTGTAAAACCTGCTTCATTTAATTCTCGGCCTTCAACAATTCTTTGTTCACCTTTTCCCTTCGTTTTCTTCTTCCTGTTTGTCGTTTCGATTCTTTTAATTAACGTTTTCAACAACAGCAACAGCTAAATTAGACAGCGTATGCAACTCGAAGAGAGAATAATAATGTAATCAAGATGTTGACGTTCCACACCATTTCCAAAGATTAGGATGAACCCCCCCCCCTCTCATCAGTAGAAAGCTTACATTCGCACTGATATCTTCATCTTTGTTATTATTGTCACAATATCTCGGTCGTTGTTCCTTCCGGCTTTCTTAGGGTCATCTCGTCTTGCTTTTTTTAATACTTCTCACTGATTGTTCACCTTATGTACACGTCCTTGGTATGACGATAAACTACATCCGCGTCCAGGGTAAGACGATAAACTACGCCCGCGTCCTGGGTATGACGATAAACTACATCCGCGTTCAGGGTAAGACGATAAACTATGCCCGCGTCCTGGGTATGACGATAAACTACATCCGCGTTCAGGGTAAGATGATAAACTACGCCCGCGTCCTGGGTAGGATAAACTACATCCGCGTCAAAGACAATAAACTACGTCCGCGTCCTGGGTAAGACGATAAACTACGCCCGCGTCCTGATAAACTATGACGATAAATAAACTACATCCGCGTCCAGGGTAAGACGATAAACTACATCCGCGTCCAGGGTAAGACGATAAACTACGTCCGCGTCCTGGGTATGACGATAAACAACATCCGCGTCCAGGGTAAGTCGATAAACTACGTCCGCGTCCTGGGTATGACGATAAACTTCATCCGCGACCAGGGATAACGATAAACTACATCCGCATCCAGGGGGTAAGACGATCCGCGTCAAGGGTTATTCGATAGACTACGTCCGCGTCTAGGGTAAGACGATAAACTACCTCTGCGTCTTGGCTATGAAGATAAACTACATCCGCGTCCAGGGTAAGACGATAAGCTACGTCCGCGTCCTGGGTATGACGATAAACTACATTCGCGTCCAGGGTAAGACGATAAACTACATCCGCGTCCTGGGTAAGACGATAAACAATGTCCGCGCCCTGGGTATGACGGTAAACTACATTCGCGTCCAGGGTATGACGATAAACTACATCCGCGTCCTGGGTAAGACGATAAACTACATCCAACAGTAAGGCCTCTGATCAGGAGGTTTTGAGGAGCGTGGAACCACAATTACAATAATACAATTACCATTGAAATTAATGGCTACTAATGAAATTAATATTACAATTTCTGGTCTTCCCAGGTCCACCCTGTCCCGGGGTAGTTGCACCTGTTAGGGTCCCAGATATGGGCAAATATTTAACCACCCTCCAAGCTGTGGTAAAAAGCATTATGTAAGTGTAAAAGTAGGTTTGAATATCAAAAATACTTTGTAAAAAATTGAGTAATTGAAAAATGGTTCAAATTATACATAGGCACCTTTTTTTTTATACCAAACTATCGCTATGAAGCTATTCCAAAATTTTGTTGGCATTAAATGACCGATTGAGGTTGATATGCCATAAAACAAGAAAAAACAAACAAACCTTATTTACACTGTGTCTGATTGAACTACCCAGCCCAGGGATTGAACACTCAATTACGATGCCAACAGATTCATGAACCAACACTATGTTATTGTTCCCTATTTAGATCAGTCAAAGTATCTCGATAGTATTGATCATTCTTAAAGGCGGTTTTCAAGAAGATAGTTTAGAAAATGAATAAAGTTATATTTTTCATTATATTTTTAAATAATATGAAATATTACAAGTTTTTGACATATGGAATAAATGTTCTTAGATATAACACTATGTTGGAAGAAAATAAGGATCAGGGAATTGTATGTAATCTGCTAAAAATGGTTTTGAATGAATCCTGTAGGTTTTAGTGAGGACCATCATTCTTCGAAACTCGAAAACTTACGCTACAGAATCACAAAACAAAACAAACCTGTAGCAAATAACAGAATCCTCTTCTTCTCCCTCCAGCTATGGGTAAATAGCAGGACAGACTGGGTTCTATAGCCTTGGATGGCAACTGGTCTAGGAGAAGGAAAACTCTAAATTCAAAACCTGCGGAGGGTCGTTTGGGGACCTTGTGGCACGTAGTGCACCAGGTCTCTGTAATCGGCACTTCGAAAAGTGTGGATGGTCCTGCACGAAACCTTCACCACTATAATCAAATCTCATGTGCTATACATGCGGGTTGGGGACTGCTTGTGAATTCCAAATTCCCATGAAACTCCAATATTGGAGCCGGCTCAACCCACCTCGGGTGAATGCCGTTACAAGAAGAGAGAGAGAGAGAGAGAGAGAGAGAGAGAGAGAGAGAGAGAGAGAGAACAAATAACAGAAATCACACTCCCTTGTGCACTTTCAACAGTAGCAAAAACTTAAATGGATGTCTTATGTAACTCAAAGAGAAAATAATTGCATAATCAAGGTGCTGACTTTCCACACTACCCTAACCGTAAGGTTAGAAAGGAAACGCCTATCAATAGTAGAAACAACGAATCTACTGGAAAATAGAAAAATATAATATATTTTATAAATCTCAACCTACAGTAGCACTGGCTGCCTAGTCAATGAATGCCGAATGTTTCCACATACGAAAATGATTAATATTACAATTACCATTGATATTAATGGCTACTAATGCAATTAATATTACAATTAATGGTTAATATTACAATTACCATTAGAATTAGTGGCTAGCATTACAATTGTTATTATAATTAATGGCTAGTATTATAATTAACATTCCAATTAATGGCTAATATTACAATTACCATTAAAATTAATGGCTAATATTACAATTACCATAAATTAATGGTTAGTATTACAATTACCATTACAATTAATGGCCAATACTACAATTACTATTATGATTACCCATTTTTTCTCTTTCCTTTCTGTTTTTGTCTTTTTCAATGATAGCGTATTTGGGACGATCATAGTCCTACTTTACCAGTAAGAGATGTCAGAAACATTTTTTTGAATTCTGATTTTCAAGGAGCATGGTCTTCAGCATTTGGAAAACTGGCGCAACACAGTCTTTGTACTCCAAATATTCTTCTTTTATGCTTATCACGTTAGGCTTAGTAAAAATAATCGCCTTAGGAAATCGGCGCACGCAATCTTCATACGTTAATTTTCGCTTTCTTTTTTGCTTTGCCTTCTATTTTTCTCCTCCTCACTTTGTTTTGTGCTCTCCTTTCTCTCTTTCGCCTACTTGTCATTCTTTTTTGTCTTCTTTTTTTTTCTCCTCCTCCCTATTCAGTTTTGTCTTCTTTTCTCTTTCCCCTACTTACTGTTCTGGTTTGTCTTCTTTCTTTTTCTCCTCCTCCTCATTCAGTTTTGTTCTCTCTCTTCTTTTTCTCCTTCTAATCTTTCTATTATCTCCTCTCCTTTATTCGAATCTTTTTAAACCGACTCTTTTTTTTTTTGTTATTCTTTCTTTCTTTTATTCATTACTCTTCTCTTTCATAGGCCTTTTCTCTTTCTCGAAATGTTCATCTGTCATGGACGACGACGAAAAACAAAACTTGTAGACAAGATAAGAGAGCTTTCATGTAGAAGGACACAAATGGAAGGCAGGGCTTCGTCAGGGGTACAGAGCTGAGATTTCCTGTCAGATCGGGGAGGTGGGGAGAGCAATCGAAGGGGAAGATACTTTGCCCGTCAAATTACGTTTTAACATGAGATGCGTAGAATGCAAAGATGGCAACCGAAAATGGATTTTATTTTTTCAATGTTTCCGGAATAAAATACATTTTAATCAAAGCAAATACGAATAATAAACAAAATAAACCAGAAACTATAAGAACTGCGTCTATTAGAACAGTCAATATTATTATGACTGTCCGGGTGGCGTGTCGGTCATCGTTGCGGAAAGTGTAATTGACAAACCAACTTCAAATTTCTGCCTAGTCTGTTGCATACACTTTCGCACAAATATATTTATGGGTTAAATAACAGAGTAAAATTGGATTGGACACTGACAAAACTAACCTGGCCGTGCATCTCGAAAAGGACCTCCAATTGGCTGTTGAACTGGGGCCGGAATTGGCTGGTCAAGTTTAATGCTTCAAAAACAAAACTGCTCTCTATTAATCACCACGGAGATCCTTCCCTGCCCTCCATTAGAATGTCTGACGCTCAACTTCTCGAGAGCAACTCTCTGCGGCTGCTCGGTCTCACGTTGACTGCTGACCTGAGATGGAACAAATACATTGAGTCAATTGCTTCGTCCACCGCAAGAAAAGTTGGCTCCCTGTGCCGCGCCAGGAAATTTTTCTCCCCGGAATCGGTCCTCCAGATCTACAAATCAACAATTCGCCCTTGCATGGAGTATTGCTGCCATATATGGTCTGGAGCCCCTTCTGTTTGCCTCGGGGTTCTTGATAGGCTACAGAGGCGGATATGCAATATAATTGGCCCTGCTCTGGCATCTCGTCTACAGTCTCTTTCTCACAGACGCGCCGTGGCCTCTCTTTGTCTTTTTTTTACAAATACTTTCATGGCAATTGCTCCGAGGAGCTGCATTCGCTGGTTCCCATACTTCATGAGTTCAAGCGCCCTACGAGGCTGGCATCCCGCTCTCACCCTTTCACTGTAGAAACTTTTAAATGTAGCCGTCTCTTCTACTCCAACAGCTTCATGTCTCGCACCTCTCGCCTGTGGAACTCACTTCCCTATTCCAGTTACCCTGAGAGCTATAATCTCCAGCTATTCAAATGTAATGTCAATCGACATCTCTAGTTGCCTTGATCTATCCACTACCCTTCTCCTCATCCTTTCTTCTATCACTCCTATCTGATCTTGCTCCAAATTTTCTGTAACCCCTTTCGTCCTAGTGGCTTCCCGCCTTGCTTGGGGTGAAACGCTTTAAAAAAAATGTCTAGGAGAAAACATTCTGATTTCATGATCGTGCAGAATAACAATAATTCATTGACGCCCTTAAAATCAAAATTTCGTCTTGGGTATGACGGTAAACTGCATCCGCGTACTGGGTAAGACGATAAACTACATCTGACAGCAAGGCATCTGATCAGGAGATTTTGAGAAGCGTGGAACCACCTTTTAATTGCTGGTGTTCCCGGGTCCACCTTGACCCGGGGTGGTAGCACCTGTTTATGGGCAAATAGTTATCCCCACCCCAAACTGGGGTAAAAAAAAAACTATGAAAGTATAAAAATAGGTTTTAATACCAAAAATACATTTTTGTAAAAATTCTTACTAACAATACATTTTTGAAGAAAAAATATTACCAGCAATAAAAAAAAATCTTGTCGGCAGTAAATAACCCATTGAGGTTGATACGCCCTAAAACAAAGCAAACCAAACCAAACAAACCCAATTAAAATCAAAATTGCAGTAGACCTGACAATACAAGGTTGCTCTGTTATTTAGGAACATCTGTAAGTATTTAGTAAAATACGTATAATTCAGGAAAGAAGGGCTTTATTTAAAAAATAGGAATAATCTTGAAATTCTTCTTGAAGCATCTAGTTATTAATCCGCCGTTATCATCGATGACTGCTTCAGTTCAAAATCTGAAACATTGACATACCTGAATCAGATAAACTTTATATATTTTGGACATGGTGCTAGTTATGGCGGACTTCAGAAATTTTATAGTCTTATTTGGGGCGTTGATTCAATTCCCTCTCGATTACGTTGTCGTCAAATGTATTCAGGTCTGTATAGCTAGGAGACCATATATTTTGATTGACGGGATCGTGGAGATTGTAACCTCTATTCTTGAATCGTCTTCGGCTTATAAGACAGCGTAGATTCCTTTTGGTAGGTGTACGTTCTTCCTTTGCTCACTCTCTCTATCCAAGGTCTCATAACCCTCTTTAGTACCTCCTTATAGTCAGCGGCATTGACCTTAAGGAAAGAATTGATATTGCTCACGACATCCAGAACTATCGCAGTTACCGGAAACTTTGAGTGCGCAACCGTTGGAATGTTCTTAGGATCTCTGCATAACTTTTGTATCTTTTGCTTTCGAGATAACAGAAATAAATAAATAAAGACAAACTCGTAGGTAAGTAATGAAAAAGAAAGTTTACTACACGAAGATAAACTTAGCAAATGATTTAAATGCTAACACGGTATGAGCTCCACACAGATGAACTGAAGGCAAGGATTATGGCAACATTCATCAATTTAAACAAGAAGACCGCCCAGTAGAGAAGCAGGAAATTCTGAAGTCGTCTGGGGACCGTGTTTGAAGCCAAAAGCGATTTTATTGAATAAATTTACTCTTTAGTATTTCAAGATATTTTTGTGTAATTTTGGTAAATATATCTATTAAAATGAGATTTCAGCATTATTTTAATTTTTTGCGTAAAAATATCTGATGTCTACAGCAGATAAGGTTGAATGCCTTGCTCAGAAATTCTCTTCCAACTCAACACTCGACTGATCTGGAGTAACCACACCTGATTTCCCCCTGAATTAAAATGTGATGTCAGTATTATTTTAATTTTTTGGCGTAAAAATATCTGATGTCTACAGCAGATAAGGTTGAATGCCTTGCTCAAAAATTCTCTTCTAACTCAACACTCGACTGATCTGGAGTACCCACACCTGATTTCCCCCTGAATTAAAATGTGATGTCAGTATTATTTTAATTTTTTGCGTAATTTAGACGACAACTTATCCATCGTGTCTTCTATTTTGGACATGGTGCTAGTTATGGGGGATTTTAGAGATTTTATAGTCTTATGGGGGGCATTGATTGACTCCCCTTTCGACTACGCTCCGTATATCGTCGTAGTTCAACAGATTCAGATCTGGATAGCCGGAGGTCGTATGTTTGGGACAATGTGATCATGGAGATTGTAACTCATCCGTTCTTACAGTCAGCAGAATTGACACCTTAAGCCCCAAGGAAAGAAGTGACAATGCGTGACATCTCCCTCATTGCTCACGACTCCCAGAACTGTCACAGTTGATGGAAACTTTGTGTGCATGTCTATTGAAACATTCTTAGAGTCTCTGGATAACCATCTGCCATTCCTTCGATTGAATTTTTGATCCTAATCAAAGCTTTTCTTATCCAAATCCTTTTAGGCTCTTGATGCTTCAATATACTTAACAAGCGCTGTGTGTACAGATCAGATGGTTATCTTTTGTCTTTGGAGATATGAATTGGCCTCTCCACATCACAATTGACTTGTATCGAATGACTTCAAATTTGGTAGTTCTGATGAGTGTTTTATATTTAGCTACTACTGAACAATCTTGAAACCTTTCTTTACGCATCTACTTAACGAACCCGCCGTTAGCATTGATGGTAGCTTCAAGACGAAGGCTGAAACATTGACATACCTGAATCAGATGATCTTGATTTGTTTTTGACATTGTGATAGTTATGGTGGACTTCATTTTATAGCATTATGGGGCCACTGACTGACTTCCCTCTCGACTGTACCCTATACGTAATAGTCTAACAGATTAAAGTCTGGAGTTTGGGGCAACGTGATCGTGTAAATTGTAACTCATCCATTCTTTGGTTGTCTTGGCCTTATGAGACGGCGCAGAGTCTTGTCGGTTGGTGATCGTTCTTTTTTTGTTGGCGTTCTCTATGCAAGATCTCACAACCATACCCAACATCACACCTTAATCCATGAAGAGAGAAATGAGGAGACGTAACATCGTCCTCGTTGTCATGACTACCAGAACTATCATAGTTGCTGGAGACTTTGTGTGAAAAATCATAAGAACGTCCTTAGGGTTTCTGCACAACTATCTGTCATTCGTTCAGCTGACCTTTTGGTCCTGATGAAAGTTTTTCGCAGCAGAGAAAAACCAAAGCATTCAATTCTGTTGATGTTTCAACTTACTTACTGTATAAAGAACTCATATTTTTAAATCAAATTTGCTTGAAAATATTTTTAATTCAGATTAACTTTAAAATACTTTTAAATATTTAAAATATTGTTTGTTTAAAGAAAGCTGAAATATAAATAATTACTCTACAAACAACTGGACGATACAACAAAACGGGATCTCTTTTTGTCTGTCTTTAACCTTAAAATATTTTAATTAAAAAAATGTCTGTTTGAAGAAAGTTAAAATAAAAATACTTACTGTATAAACAACTCATATTTTTTAATCTTACTCACTTAAATCAGATTAACTTAAATCATTATGCGCCGGACGGAGGCACCAAGTAAGCATACACGCAATCACAGAGAGGTGGAAAGAGAGGGGTGGAAAGAGAGAGAAAGAGAGAGAGAGAGAGGGGGGGAGGTAGTGGTAGAAAGAGAGAGGTGGAAAGAAACTGAAATCATTATGCGCCAGACGGGCGACGCACCACGCAAGCACGAATCACAGACTTTTAGTATTAGATAGATAGATAGATAGATAGATATGAAATAGTATTTGTGAATTTAGTCGTTTCCCTAAGGGGAAACATTTAGCATTCATTGACTGAAGATTTAGCGTCAGAATAGGTTGAAATTAAACAAAAAAAAATCTCTTGAAATAGTGTTTCAGGAAATTAGACTTCGCATATCCACTAACTGTTATCGCTCTT